TATTAGAGCATAAGCTTTCGTGGACTACAGCCCCGGGGGCTGTAGTCCACGAAAGCTTATGCTCTAATAAATTTGTTAGTCTCTAAGGTGCCACAAGTACTCCTGTTCTTCTTATTAAATCTTTGGGGGTGGACCCAAACTGAGAACAGTATTTAAGAAAACGTACCTTTTACAGTGCACATGCGCCAATACAGAAAGGTGACTAGAGGGTTTCCATGCCTGCCATTTTATATGCTTGGCTTTTGTAAGGGCTCTAAAAGCCAAATGGTTACTTGGATTGCTATGAAATTTGGGATGCCTCATGGGGGCAAAGGGTAGCGTTAATGATCCAAAATGTGGGATCATTTGACCTAGAGGATCCAAGTTACATGCCTCATAAAACCAAAACCAAACCAGTTTCCTTCTGCTGCCTTGTTCTGTTAAATTGAAATGTACTAATGGCTGGATGAGTCACAGACCATGCTAAGACGGATGGTGATTAACTTCTCACCATTGTCATAAGGGACTGCAAAGCAAAGCTCATAACTGAGGATGAATTAATCACAAGCCCCACATCTTAGACAAAAGGAGTTTTGGACTGAGTGGCCAGAGGCAGCTGCAATTTGCGAGTCACAGGCGGCAATTTTATTTTGAGGGAATGTAATCAAGTCTGCGGGGAGGAAAAAAATTACACATGACTGCTTCCTGGAAGGAGAGGGCTATTAGGAGGCTGAGGAATTGAGTAATAAGGGGAGAGGGGCTTGGGGCTGCAGCAAGGGGAAGAGGTTTATAGGGGATTCACAGGGATGGGTGATAAACAACCAGTTCGAGACTTGCCGGGGGGATTTTTTTCACTAGCTCCTGGGGGACTTGTTGGACCAAGTAGTTACAAGGGCAGATTAATGTGATGTTTTCAAAGAAACACTGCACAGAGCTTAGGAACCGACAGCGCAGGCATCATGTTTTGTCCACTCTGCATCATCTAACCAGTGACTTAAGAACTGTGCCCTACTGGGCACAGGGGTGATTCATTTGGGCAGAAATAATCTGAGCCTTATTCCTGGTGTTCACCTCATACATTGGATCGTATCAGATGTGTGTCCAGGAGTTATGATTATTTTCATCTCATTTTTGTCCTGTAAGAGTTTTAGATGGAATCCTGTGAGTGAGTGAGTGAGTGAGTGAATGCGCTGTAAAAAGGAGGTAAAGAGCTAATACATTTCAGCAACTGTGGGGTTGGCAAAGCAAATGCCCTGTGACTACACAGACCTACGGAAGCATTGCTGAAAGAGGGCGGATTAAAGGTTGCATGGGCAATCTTAACTAGGCATTTCCTGGTTTTCAGGAGTTTGAATTTTGCAAGGGGACAATATACCACCAAGCAACCTTAATTCTGCATTAATGTAGTCTGTTGCCATTGAATTTTAGAATACTGAGAATTTCTTGTGCAATGGAATCTCTTCGGTAACCACATACTGGACCAGTGCAACTGTTCTAGAAGGATAATTCACTTTCTACTATTTATCTACATTTCAAAATGTAAGAACTTACATTGTTCAGTGAAAACTCCATGGCCAGTAGGGTTAAGGATAGTAAGCACTACGGAAGGACTAGAAAATCTACAAAGAAAAACTTACCAATGATTTTAGTAAGCTTTGCTTTGCAGTCTCTTATGACAATGGTGAGAAGTCAAAATGCAGATGTGGGCTTCAAGGCAGGGTGATACAAGATTGGCACTTACAGTGTTTGCTGTAAATGGCATGATGTAAATGCTCAGACAGTCCATGTACTAAGCTGACCATACTTCTATCCCAACCACTATATTTAATACAGTGGAGATGTCAATCTGACCTGATAACATGACTGTTTCTTTTCGACAGTAAAATTCATTAACATTCCAACTTGGCTGGCGGTACCAAAGAAATAAATTTAAGACTAATAAGAGAAAATACTTTTCCCTCAAGCTATACCTAATAAACTGTGAGCCATTGCCACATACCATTGAGGCCAATAGCTTAGTGGGATTCCAAAAAAGGATTAAATATTTAAATGAATAATATCTGCAGTTACCCTCGATAGGGCAGAAGTGTCTAGTAAGGGATATAAATCTTATCTTCACGCTTCAGTACATCAGCACACCAGTAACCAACACTGTTAGGAAGAAATGCCCCCCGCCCCCCATCAGCCTGTTATTCCACAGTTGTCCATTATGGGGTTTTCAGCACCTTCCTTTGAGGCAGCTAGCACAGACAGGCTACTGGACTAAAACAGATCATTGGTCTGATCTAGAAAAGCAACTGCCACCACTGGTGTGCACTGCTCACTCACCCCTTGACAGGATCACCAATACACATTCCAAATTGTTTGGTGCCAGTCTCCATGCATCTTCGAATCATCAGTCGATAACATGGCTCAAAGATGTGCAGAGGGCAAGGGACTGTAGGATAGGCCATTGTGCAGACAAAGATGGGAACATTCTTATTTAAGCTATAAGAAAAAAAAACCCACTAGGAAAACATGCACCATCTTCCAAAAAACATTAGAAAAGTACAAACCACAGACATATTTTATGCAACACAATGCAATTAGAGGATGCCAAAGTGCTTTACAATAAAATCAAATGGAAAACAAGATTTCTATATTAAACGATTTTTTGCTTTCATCTTTCCAAACAATGGTAATTGATATTCCATTATAATTAATGGAACTTTTTTTTTTAAATCCTTCCAGCAAAGTCAGAAAGAGTTACCACCTCATCTCTCTAGGTTGCTTTAGAGCTCAGATGTTCCTCAATTCTCTCCCTTTCCCATCCAATTTCCAATCCACATGTACTGGTGAGCTTTTTTATCATGTGGAATTCCACTTCCAGCTACTATGACACGCGCCAAGGTCAACAGAACGCAATGTCATCGCGATGCACCTCATATTACTGGCTTGGATTTCCTCTTGTATTTGAAACCAATCACAAGAGTACGCTACCAGATAGCTTGAAGTTTAATCTTGTGTATCTGAACCCTGCCCTTCTTGAATCATGTAATACAGAGTAAGCTCCTTTATCAGTACCTTAGGACATGTTCTACAGTGATGAGAGCCATTCAGTTGCTAGCTAAACTACTTTTAAAGACTGGCTTAAAAAAACCCACGAAAGCCCACACAAACGGATTACATACTTGGAAAGCTCTGCAATTTCTTCTTCATAAATCTTCCTTCTCTCAGTGAGTTCCTCTGGAAGGTACTTCGCTATTAACTCCTCCATCAGTACCGTTTTGCAATATTTCCTCAGAGCCAAGCACTGCAACAAGAAGGCACAACTGAGCAGCTATCAATGTATAGCAATGGCTGCCAGGCTATATTTTACCAACGTTTCCTCCGATGTAGCTTTTCTTAATTGTATTTGGTCACTTCCATTAGAACTGAAATGGTCACTAATCCATTTCCCTCCTTGCTTTCTGGCCTGCTTGTGACAATCAAGGTCCAGACACCCCACGACCTGGGGGTCTGGACTTCCAAGAATAAGCAATTGAGTCAACTGATTCTATACAATATTACTGACCTATAAAAGTGTCAAGTACGGTCTTTTTACTAAAGCTAGACACACACTGGTCTTGTGTGTGATGGTTTTGGGGAGATCCGAGACTGGAAGGGCTGTTGGGGTTACCCCTGCAAGCGGCAACCAGGCTGGTGGATGCCAGTGTGCTGTGAACAGGCTGTTGGTGTCAGGGCTCTGAGCCAAAGCTGGCAGTACAGGAGCACGCAGGGTTACAGGACAGGTGGTGACATGACCCCTTTCTGGTTTGGGTGTACCCCCGCAGCATCACACTATTATAAAGACATGGGCAGAGCACTGATTTTTGAGAAGACCTTTCAAAGGAATACAGAGAACAGCATTACAAGCTAATATCCTACATGAACATCATGCACCAAACTGATGTCATGGGGAATTCCATGCCCAGGGCGTGCAGGATTGGGCTTTGTTTATTACACCTGTAATTGGTATGGAGAACCTACACAGACAGTAACTTATCCAATCCCCCCCCGCGCAAAAAAAGCTGTCTCATTTTTCTGGGGGATTGGCCATTTCCTAAGGGCTTTCGTATTTCCCAAAAACCTAGCAGAAACAGCTGGATGCATGAGGAGCTTCAGTTTCATCACTCCATTCAAGGAGTTAAAGTTGAGTAATAATTTATAGTTTCCTGTCTTTTAAATTTGTTCACTCTGAAGATATCACTTCTTTCCCTACTGGCTTAGTTTGTGTGTCTCAGAATTTGTATAGATCTATATCATTGCTGTGTTTCCCACAGAGCTTAAAGTTAACTTTCCTCATTTTGTTTACTTTTGGTTGGTGCAGCAGTGAGTCAACACTACTGCTCTTTACATAATGTGTCACAGAGCCAGAAGAGGGAACAAAATATCGTAGAGACTCTACAAACCCTAGCTACTCTCTTCCCCTCTCCACTACAATTAAAAATTGTTAGTCCCTGGGAGTTTACCAATGCCAAGCATTTTTTAAAATCCCACCCTTGAAATCTGGGAGACATTTCTCATCATGTTTAAAACAGTTTATTCCCTTCCAACCCTCAGCTCCCAAATTTTTATAAATCTTTAAATAATTACAAATATGCATTCCTGCAAAAGACAAAGAGCAAAAATTGAAGAGTAAACCAAAGAGAAAAAGAAAGCATACCAAATCCTACTAGCGAAGGCCACACAAATAATTTAACGATTTTAAAGCAGACAAAAATTAGCATCTAAGGTACTTGACAGTATCCTTTTAAGGCATGAACTGAGAACATGACTGAAGAAGTTCAAGTGAACACCAGTCACGTGCGCCACATGGGCTGACCAGGCAGAGCACTGCTGATCTCAATGTGCAACCACCCACACAGAGCTCTGTGCTGGATCAGGGCTTTAGGTCTTAAAAGTGTTTAAACACAGAAAACTACATGAGCTCTGAGCCTGAGAGACATTGAAAAAGGCTTCTTCCCCAAATCACATGGGATTTCAAGTATATTTGGATATACCAGTGGATTTCTGAAGTTATTAATTCCCCCTCCCCTCCAGTTTATGTGGACCAAATTCATGCATCATTACCTCAGAGAGACCTTCTTTGCACAGGGGACATTTTGCATTGTGATCTAGGCATCTTTCGAGACATTTCAGGCAGAAGGTGTGCCCACAAGGTGTGGTGACAGGTTCATAAAAAAGCCTGGAATGGAACAATCAACAAAAAAGCGACAATATCGTGTAGCAAGAATAAGATAAAAAAGGCTACTTCATAACATCTTTTCATATTTATTCACTAGTTACAATTCTGTGCACTTTAGTCAGAAATCTGTTTCTTGTTTTTCACTTTTGTATTTATTCAATTAAGGCATTTTGCTATTGTCAGTCTAATGTATAAAGCGCTCTGAAATCCTGGGCCCATTGAAGGAAATCAATGGCAAAACTTCCACTGACATTTGAGCAGGATTGCACTCATGCTATGGTGATGAATGGCAGTACAAAATAATAAGATAGACCTTTTATGTTTTTCAAATTAAGCGGATTAAAAATAAGGCCCTGATCTTGCAAATCCTAACTCACATGGGTAAAGTAAAGCACATGCATAATTGTTTGCAGTTTTGGGACCTATAGGATTAATAAAACGGGTATACACTAGCGATGGGCAAACTTTTTGGCCCGAGGGCCACATATGGGTATAGAAATTGTATGGGAGGCCATGAATGCTCATGAAACTGGGGGCTGGGGTGCAGGAGGGGGTGAGGGCTCTGTGGTGGGGCCAGAAATGATGAGTTCTGGGTGTGGGAAGAGGCTCCGAGCTGGGGCAGAAGTGTGTGTGGGAGGGAGGGCTCCGGCTGGGGGTGAAGGCTTTGGGGGTGGTGATGAGGGATTGGGGGTAGAGGAGAGTGCTCCGGGCTGGGACCAAGGGATTCAGTGGGCAGGAGGGGAATTAGGGCAGGGATCAGGGGTGCAGGCTCTGGGCGGCGCTTACCTTAAGCAACTCCCGGAAGCAGCAGCATGTCCCCCCTCCATCTCCTACATGGAGGTGTGCTGGCGCCCGTGTGCAAGCGCCACCCCTGCAGCTCCCATTGGCTGTGCCCAGCCAGTGGGAGCTGGGAGGGCAGCACTTGGGGTGAGGGCAGCGTGTGGAGCCAAAGGGGGGACATGCACTGCTTCTGGGAGCCATGTGGAGCCACTGTATGCGTGGAGCTGGGCAAGCCCCCAGCCCCACTCCCCAGCTGGAGCACCGGAGTGGGGAAGCCCCGGACCCAGCTCCCTGGTGGGTGCTCATGGGCCAGATTAAAAAAAACATCTAAAGGGACGGCTTCGGCCCCCGGGCTGTAGTTTACCCACCCCAGTATACACTATTGTTACCATATCTAATGCTGGAGAATTTAGTTTTGTTTGAATACACTGCACAGCTTCTAACTTCCAAATGAACATTCTCCCTTCCACAAAATAAATGCACATTAGAGTCCTATTTCATCAAAACATTATACACATTGTGATTCTGCTTTCCCGGTTAGTCGTCTTCTTTCCTGGCTAAATTCATTGGAAGACTAAATTCCAAAAAGCTCTTTCCCTGCTGATGAGCATTTAAAGAACAGAGGGATGTTACCAAAGTCTCTCTAATCATTGAAACTAGAAATGAGACCATTCAAAACTGACTACTTTGATCTTAAAAAAACCCCACTCAATATTTTAAGGTCTCATAAGTAATTACATCAGGCTAAATAATTTAAGTTCATTTTATTAAAGGTAATATAAAAAATAAAAATAAAAAACTGGTTTATCAAGATGATAAATCTGGGTGCTACTGTCCAGGCATAAAAATAATTCCATACTTATTTTTTTCAGCATGCAAAATATGTTTAAGAACATACTGACTCTTAATAACAAAATAGCAATAGCCAGTTTAAGTGTCATTAGTGGCTATAAATACAGACATTTAGTGAGGGAGCATATGAAGGAATATCTAAAATGCCAGTTATCTTGTTGCATATCAGTTAAAATCCTGTCAATTGTTCAAAGAACAGAAACTTTACTGCATAATATTACCTGTTTTGCTTTAAAATGTTTAATACCAATTTCTAAAATAAGTGTTTGTACATTTAATCAACTTACAATAGATTTACTTGGACAAATACCACTTGAAATGTAAGCATACAGCACAGGAAATATCTATTAGATCACAGTCCTGATCCAGCTCTTACTGCACTAATGGGAGTTTTGCTATTGAGTTTAACGGGGGCTGATTTAAGCCTCGCAAATTGGAGAAAGATATATTGTAGAAAAAGATTTCTTGAGACCACGTCAGGTGCACTATGACAACAGCAACAATATTCACCCTTGGTGGGAAATACCTGCTCACTTCCAAGCAAACACAGATGCACAGAAATGTAGGGCTGGAAGGGATCTGGAGAGCTCATCCATCCAGCCCCTAGGCTAAGGCAAGACCTAATATACCTCATCGTTAACAATTTGTCCATGTTTACACTTCTGTAGGATTCCTTTTTGATTTTTAGGTCACCAAAAAGCTGCCATATTGGCCTCTTACTATTCTTCCTATCCTTTCCTTTGCATCAGGACAGTTTGCTGGCCCCCCCACCCCCACAGCTGGAATGGGTGACTCACCACCTCAAAACATGTTCTGCCAGTGCTTACTGCCTGCCACTGAAATGGATATAGGTCAGTAACACCTTTGCCACTTAGACGAAATAGGTCAATAGTAGCTTCTGCAGTTAGTTGGTGAAAGGTCACTATTAGTCCAAAGTACACCTCAGCCTCCAAAGCACAGATAAGTCATTTCTGAATTACATAACATGGATAATGACCATGAGGACCACTATGCGTTAATATCAGTGGCAAGAGGAAGATCCTCCAACAGGATAGTCTTACACAGGCCCTGACATCCATACGGTCTCAAGGACTTTAGTGGGACTCCATGTGGCCGCAACCATATGTGCTATCCTGGGTTGCAGGACCAGGGCCAATACAGTGACAATCAGGGAAGACTAAGGGG